GAGGTAAGAGAGTGGGAGGGGGCATGCCTTAGGGCTATAAAACTTTGCTTCTCACAGCGAGATGCATACTCCCACAAAGGCTGTGCCCTTTCTCGTGAGAAAGAATACAAGACATTTTCTGATCTGTGACTCAACCTCCGAACTTTTAATTCTAGTATGGTCGTTGTCCCACACATGCATGATGTTAGAATCCTTGTAAAGTTTCTCCTATTACTCAGTTTGTGATATTTTACATTTTGTTGTGGAATTCCAAAGACAAATTAGAAATTCTGAGCAAAAACTCTTTTTCTCATCCAAATTGCAAAGCCACTTCTACACACACTAGCCAGCAGTGGTGTTGCCAGGCTGGTGCTAACATCTGGGATTCACAGGAGAAATTATACTTCCATTCCTCCTATCCCCACCCCTCCCCACCATCAGATCTGAGATTGCTGGCCTTTGAATTGCCCAGGGAGTAGGTGTGAAATCACCTCTGGTGTTGCAACACCCTTCCAAAACTCATAAGTTGCCTGTAGAAAACTGTCTTTACATATAATTGGAAAAAGATGCTATTAAGGAAAAAAAAGAAAATAGCTATTCTTGTAGTATAAAAAAAATCAGTTTCATTTACTTTCCGGTTATTCTCAAACCATAAGTCAATAAACCAAAAAGTATCTCTTAAGCCACTATGTGTTGTACATGAGACAAAGTGTACAAAAGGTACTTATATACAGAATATATACAAGATAACAAGATAATCTTAGCAGGGAGGGCTTCCATCTCTTAGTAGAGGGGCAGAACAGTATGATAGAGGTTTCCCACATGACCAATGAGTGGGATGAAGGAAGCAAGAAAGGGGTCTGCTTTTGTTTAAAGTAAGCTTATCAAGGGAAGGTTTGGAGGAAATGGGGCAAGTGGGTAAGGTAGAGCTAATGATTCCAGAAAGAAAGAAAAGAGAATCAATGAAACATTTTAACAAACAGTGCTACAAAAACAGAAGGCAGTTCAGCAGAAGCAGGGAGGAGCAAGATAGCTTTGTAAGGAGCATGTCAAAATTGTTACATAGTTAAAAGAATGAAATGTAGCACAATTTAGGGTATAGGGCAATCTGCTGTCATCTCTTGTCTGCGTGTGAAAGCATTCATATTCACTGATGTTTGTCAGATTTATGATAACACACAATACACATTTTTAAGGGGGAGGGAGGGGAGAGAGGTTGGGCCCTGAAAAGGCTTCCTGCAGAAGGTAATGCCAGAGCTGAGTCTTGAAACAAGGAGGGGATATTAAGAGTGGCAGAGAGGGAGCCCCTGCAAAGGTCCAGAGGGGAGATGAAGTGTCCTGCCTGAGCAACAGGAAGAACGAGAGTTTGGCAGAAGGGTAGAGTGCAGAAACGGGAGCAATAAAGCTTGACCAGAAAGATAGATTAGGGCCATTTGTGAAGGACTTTCAATGTGAAACAGAGGGTTTCGGGGCAGCTAGGTGGTGCAGCGGATAGAGCACCGGCCCTGAATTCAGAAGGACCTGAGTCCAAATCCGGCCTCAGACACATAACACTTACTAGCTGTGTGACCCTGGGCAAGTCACTTAACCCCATTGCCTAGCCAAAAAAAAAAAAACCCAGAGGGGTTTCTCTTTTATCCCTGCGGCAGAAGAGAGCCGCTGGAGTTGACCGAGTAGGAGAGGAACCCGGTCAGGAAAATCGGCTTGCCAGGTGGGTGGAAGATAGGTGGAGAGGGGAGAGCACTGAGGTGGGGATTCCGACCAGGAGGGAAGAGGTGATGGCCAGGCCCGAAGTTCATTGCCTGGTTCTGAGGCTGAGGAATTTGGAAAAGGCTTACTGGACGAGGTGTGGCTTCATCTGGGACAGATTCGGAATTGTGGAAAGAGGGAGGAGAATCGAGGCAAACCGAAAACTCATTTTAATATCTCTATAAATTCTGTTGGTCTTCGTTTAAAGAGGGGAGGGGGAGAAAAACAAAAACGGAACCCAGTCTCACGGCAGTAGGATGAGGAAATGCCAAGTTGTCGGTATAATCCCGGTCATTTCCTTGTAGGAGTCCCTGTGCATATACCCAGAGTGAGCCGGCTGTCTCCAGAAGGCTGGTGGTGACATCACGAAGGGGGAGGTAGTATGCAGAAGAAGAGACTTATGGGCCAGTTTTCCCCCTTCCTTCTCCGTTTTGAATACGTAAACATCCAGAGTTTGAGAGTGACAGTTGTGTTGTTCTGGTTTGGAATTATAGCTACTTTTGCGACTTTTGAGGTTTACGTTTCCTGTAAGTGAAGTGGAAGTGCTGTGTGAGTTGTCATGTTTATAATATGAGTGCGTGATGAGGGTGTGGGTGAGCATGGAGGCGGTTAGCATACTTACCTGGCAGGGGTGATTCCATGATCACGAAGGTGGTTTCCCCAGGGCGAGGCTTATCCATTGCACTCCGGATGGGCTGACCCCTGCGATTTCCCCAAATGCGGGAAACTCGACTGCATAATTTGTGGTAGTGGGGGACTGCGTTCGCGCTCTCCCCTGATCTTTCGTTTTTCAAAAATAAGAGTCGTTTTTTCTTCAACAAGTTGTTCATGGCGTTTCTTTCCCAGCGGGTTGTTTTATTTTTGTGGGATTAGTTTAGTTTGTTTTTCCCAGAGTAGACTTGCAACGTTGCTTTGTAACTGTTGTTTGTAAGTGAGTGGCCTTAGACTATATGATATTGTGTCTCTCGTTTATTTGGCAGCAAAATACTATTGCTTCTGTACTGCCAAACGTTTTTCTAGATCCTCCTGCTCAGCCCTTCCTTCTGCTAAGGGAATGGACTGTCAGTGTCAAGAAAGGTGTGGATGCGGCACGGCACATCTGCCAATTGCTAGATGGGTATGAAAGCTTTTTTAGCCCCACTCCTTGACTAAAGTTTCCCCAGGTCTTGCTTGGTCTATCCTGCCTGGACTTCACCTTTTGGCTTCAGATAAAAAGAGGTTGCCTCTCCAGAAACAGCTGGATTCGGATTTGGGAATTCATTCTCTTAGATTCTCAGGATTAAGCTCATTACAATGGTCTTTTTTTTTTCCCAGTAGGACTACACTAACTGACCTAGGAAGTGAGAAACTCTTCCAGTAGAAATGCTGGCTCAAGTAGGACAGGGAGAACGTCCCCAGAAAGAAAGGCCTAACTGGGGACTTGAATTACTGGAGATGTGATGTTTCAGATGTCTTGTCCATATGTTCCCTTCGCAGGTGCCTCACGGTACATATATCCCATTATGTGTATTTCCACTCTACACCAGCACAGTATCTATTTATTGAAGGGACCTCCACAGAATTGGGAGATGTCATTTCAGTATTTTTTTAAAAATTCAATCCGTTTTTCCCCTGCTTGATGTGTACTGCATTCTCTGATTGTGCAGAATATTAACTGGCATTTTCTACATCTCCAGGTAAATTTCCATTCATAATATTTTTTAGATATTTTGATACATCTCTATTCTATTCGTATGAGGAAGACCTGAGTTCAAATCCGACCCCAAACGCTTGAGCAAGTCTTTTCACTGATGTTTGCCTCAGTCATTTAGTTTGTAAAGTGGGATTAATAATAGTACCTACTTCCCAGGGTTATTGAGAGGATCAAATGAGATAATGATTGAAAACGTGCTTAGCACAGCGCCTGGAGCATAGTAACTACTAGATAAACATTATCTATCCTTCTTTGTTGTTAAGCTGACATCTTCATCTAATGCCATTAGTCAGGAGTCAGTATTAAATAAATAATCTGTTTTTTAAATCTTAAAACCAATTTCCACTAAATCTAATTTCTATCTAATAATATGCCTGAACATATTTTATAACTATTTCAGTATTCTTTCTCTATTCCTATTTCCTATTTCCTGTCCCTACCACCAACTCTTACCACATCCCTCAAGAAAAAAAAAATCAGCTATCCCTAATAAGAAGTCTATTTTTTACCTTATTTTACTGATAATTCCCTACCCTATTTTCTTCTTATTAACCTTAATCTAATTATTAGTCTATATATAGCAATATAAATATTTATATGTCTACCAAAAATCAAAAACAATAAGATAAACAGACATAAGTGAAAATACAGAGGCAGCTGGTTTTGAAGGGGAGAGAGTGCTGGAGTTAGGAAGACAAGAATTCAAATCCAGCCAGAGACACTCATGAGCTCTGTGACCCTGGGCAAGTCAACTAACCTCTGTTTCCTCAATTTCCTCAAGTGTAAAATGAGGATAATGGTACCTACCTCAATAGGGTGTTGTGAGGATCAAATGAGATATTTGTAAAACCGCTTAGCAAAGTGTTTGGCACAAAGTAGCTGCTATATAAATGCTTGTTCCTTCACTTGCCCCTCCCAAATTAATGGATAACTTAATATTTAATAATTTAGTGAGCAGACACAAATGATAGTAAATAGTAAAGATGCATACACATATGTGTGTATGTAGCTAAATATCTATATGGAAAAAAGAGCAACCATCTTTTTCATCAGAAGGGAGGGGGAAACACTGAGATTTTCAAAGAGAAAGAAAGGAGTATAGCAGCTATTAAAATAAGTTATAAAAAGGTGTTATGATAAATGTGTATGCCTGTTTTTTGCAAAACATTTTAAAATTTCAAAATACATATGTTGTACTATATAATATGGTATTAATAAATATGTAATGCTTATATAACAGACAGCTATTTGGTAAAGTTGATGGAATTCTGGGCCTGAATCAGGAAGATTCTTCTTCCTGAATTCAAATATGGCCTCAGATGCCTACTGGGTGTGTGACCCTAGTCAAGTCACTTAACCTTGGTTGTTCCAGGTTCCTCATGTATAAAATGAGATGGAGAAGGAAATGGCAAACCACTCCAACATCTTTGCTAAGAAAACCTCAAATGGGGTCATGAAGAGTTGGACACCACTGAACAACAGCAGTTTATATAATGAACACATTTTATTATTACATTGCATATAATGCAATATAAATTGTATGTATGTGTTTATGTACACATGTAGGTGTGTATACATACATACATACATACACAATTTTTAAAAATTTACCAAGCACGATGAGTAAGGCAGGGAACTTCGATTCAGAGTAGTAAAACGGTTCTGTAGAGGATAGATCTAGCAGATCACTGTAGGTGTAGGAAATAGGGATCACAGTAGTTAGTAAAAGTAAAAGCAAATGAGAGCAGATTAAAAAAGAAATATTCCACAAATCATGATTCCACTGATGGGAGAAAGGATACACTAGTAAAAAAAAAACTGGGAACTCTTTGACATAACAGAAAAGCCTTATTAAAGTCAGGCTCATGGTGGCTGGTAAAAGTAGGTGATAGAAGATTAAAACCTAGGCTTTACATGGATCATCATTCCTCATTACTGGTAGGCAGCATGAAAATATTACTTGGCACCTCCTACATGTAAAGTCTAGCCTATTCTACATCCACGATATTTTGATATGTAAATTTAGACATTAATGAAGAATCAGGATTGCACAGATAAAACCATCTACCTTTGAAAACATAAGAATAAAAAATTAGAGAATGGGATAAGTACACTCTAGGAATAAACAAAACCTAGAGAAACACTAAGCAGCTTCATCTATAATCTTCTTTGTATGTTCAAATATTGATGATTGCCAAGTTTACAATAAACTTTCAAAGTACTGGTTCATTGCTGGAATTTCAAGCCCCAAGAGCCCTCCCAAGACCAATGTATCACAATATACACTTCAATACCTTCTCGTTGACCCTGATACTGCTGGGACAGCTGCTGGATGGTGGAAATTTTGACTCTTTTGGCTGTCTTAGAGACACTGTGTCTGTTTTTGAACAGAAGGGTTGTATGGAGGACTGTGGCTTTCAGTCTTTGGGATGGAAGTCACCAAGTCTAGTCAAAGTGCCTTTTTCAGGCCTGGAATGATCTGGTTAATAGAACCTCAGGCACTCTAAAGGGCTGCACCCACACCTCCTTGTGTCTATGACTTATGCTTAAGTGGTGATGATAGGAGTATAGGAGAAGTGTCTCTTTTGATGACTTATACCTAGAACAATATTTATCACCTTGAACCAAAGCTTCATGCATCGGTTAAAAAAAACCATCTAGTCTTGAAAATACAGGAAATCCCAATTCAGCAAAAAGTGTCTTTCCTCATTACAAAAAACCTAAGAAGCCAAGGTGGCAGTGCTTAGCCAAGCTTCTTAATCCATTGTTGCCTGCAGCACTGATGATCCATTAATTGTCAAACCAGCCTAGCTGTGGAGCGCAGTTCACTCTGTTCTTTCTTGCCTTCCCTTAAAAAAAAAAAAGAGAAATGACTCAAATCTACATACTTAATCTGAGGCCATGAACAATCTGGCTGATGTGAGAGGCAGTAGTCAAGGGCATGCATTAACCCTTTTCATCTTCTAGTGTAAGTAAAGTTAAAAGTTTCATCTCTGGGGGATATACCTCAGGTAAAATATCTGGGGCAGATTTAACCCTTCCTTGCCTGAATAATAGATCTAGCTTTGGAGATCACACCATTCTTTTTTTTTTAATTAATTTACTTTGATTTATTAACAATCACTTCCATAAACTCTGGAGTTTTAAATTTTTCTCCCCTTTCCTCCCCACCTCCCTCCCCAAGACGGCACAGAATCTGACATAGGCTGTACATATACATTCGTATTAAACATATTTTCACATTAGTGATGTAGTAATGATCACACCATTCTTTAAATGAAATGAAGGGGCAAATTTTGGTGGGAGAACTACCCTGGTTGCTTAGTCCAGTCTGATTCTGCTGTCTTTTTGCGATGGCATCACTGGCTGAATTTCCCATAGGCACTTCCAAATACGCAGAGGCATTTTTGCTTGTCATGCCAGAAACAGATTTGTCCTGGCTATGTGTGGGAATGTCACATTTGTTGGACCATTAGTTAGTAAAGATTTACTCTTTTTGACATCAAAGTGAAATGTTGCCCATTGAGTGAGCCCACTCATAGTCTCAAGGGTCCTAGAAGAGGTCTGTAAAGAGTCTGGATAACTATCTGCATAGGGGAGGAAGTCTAGGCTCCTGTCATGCAACCATGATGTTGATTGATACCTGAGGAAATGAACAGATTGCATTGTTATTTACATATGTTCATGATAAGGATTTATCCTGCATAGTCTCTGTATCTAGAGCAGGGCTTCTTAAACTTTTCCCACCTGGGACCCCTTTTTGTGTTTAGACAGTGTTTGTTGGCGTTGCATGGCCTGAGGGCATGCACAGTAAAAAGTGCTGCATGCTTTGTGTTCAAAACCAAGGCGGAGGTGAAGTTGAACAATGCAACATGGGCAAGCCCTGCCAAAAGTACCTTGGATTCATTCCCCATTTGATTCTGAATCTTTGGTTGTTGGCTTCAGAAACTTTTTACTTCAGCCAGATTTTTCACAACAGCATATGGGGTCATGACCCACAGTTTACGAGGCACCGATCTAGATTGTTTCCTAGTTATTGTCATTTGATCATTGTAGCTAACTATAATTGGCTGCTTGGAAAGCAGGATAACAATAGTCTTCTTGAACTTTCCTATTGAAATTAGATATAATAGTCTGTAAATCCAGTTGTTAAAATATACAATCCAATTTGTCTAAAATGGTAATGAATGCACATTGCCACAACTAAACTCTAGTATTAGAATATTTGGATTTCTTTAATTAAAATATTTGTCCTCAACTAAGAAAAATACTGCTACCAATTGGAGGAAATTCACTATGCTTCCAATTTCCAAGACATACAATCTCTGTAATTATCTTCAATCTTTTCTCTCCTTCAGAACACAAAACCAATTAGATAGCATATCTCTTGTTATTTCTATTTCTATAATATCTCTTTCATCACAAACCTTTTCTATTCAGTTTACTACTACCACAGTTCAGGTCCTTTAATACCTCTCAGCTGGAAGTTTCTTGAGTGGGCTTTCTGCCTCAAGTGAAAATATGTGTAATAGGAATGTATGTGTATAGCCTATATCAGATTGTGCATCGTCTGAAAAGCTTATGAAATTGATTGTTGATAAATCAAAATAAATTAATTTTTAAAAATAAATAAAAGACAAGGAAAATAAGTAAAAGTCTACTGGGCTAGGCTCAGAAAGGAATGAAGTTCAGCCTGGGCTCAAGCAGGGAAAGACCAGGCGTCAGCTAACCTGGAGCAGCCCTCAGAGGATTGAATCACAGGCAGCTGTGGCGGTTTCCAGACTTCTCAACACACTAACACCAAAGAGAACTTAGAAGGTCAGTAGGAAAAGTCTGTGACCACAGTGAGAGAGAAGCTTAGTCCCAGGCCCAGTCCTGGTGCAGCCCAGGGGCAGCAGCTGCTTCTAGAGCTCTTGGCCCACAGACAGAGGGGAAATTGAGTGGCTGATCAGAGAGGGAATTGCAGGGATTTCTTTGCTGGTGCTCAGGCAAGATTCTCTTGCTTTGCCCATGCTTGGATCTGGGTCAGAGTTCTGGGTGGCATGGGGTGAGGAGGAGCTCTGGCACTGGTGTGGTGGAGCTTAGAGTGGTAGTGTAGAGGAAATTCTCACAGTTCCGAGGAAGAAAGGAGTGCTTGTGGTCACTTGTAGACTAGAGCACAGGCCAGGAAAAGAGTAAATACCTCGCCCTTGATCATACCACCTTGGAAGAACTGAAAATTTACAGATCCCTAGAAGTATCTCTGAAAACAGCTGCACAAAACCCCCAAAGCTTGGGAGAGTACGTTCTCCACACTGGAAGTACCCCTACCTGAGCAGAGTTTATAACTCAAGTAATTGGCTGGATTCATGAGCAAACTTTGCAAAAACAAAAAAACAAAACTTAAACCACAGAATCTTTCTTTGGTGACAAAGAAGATCAAAACATACAACCAGAAGACAACAAAGTCAAAGCTCCTACATCCAAAGCCTCCAAGAAAAATATGAATTGGTCCCAGGCCATGAAGAGCTCAGAAGGGATTTTGAGAAGCAAGTAAGAGATGTAGAAAAACTGGGAAGAGAAATGAGAGTGATGCAAGAAAATCATGAAAAACAAATCAACAGTTTGCTGAAGGAGACCCCAAAAATAGTGAAGAAATAATACCTGAAAAAAAAAACTAATCCAAATGGCAAAAGAGGTCCAAAAAGCCAATGAAGAGAAGAAGGCCTTAAAAAGCAGAATTAGGGGGCAGGTAGGTGGTGCAGTGGATAGAGCACCGGCCCTGGATTCAGGAGGACCTGAGTTCAAATCCGGCCTCAGACACATAACACTTACTAGCTGTGTGACCCTGGGCAAGTCACTTAACCCCATTGCCTAACCAAAAAAAAAAAGCAGAATTAGGATCGTCTTAAGTAGTCACATTCTCACTTTGCCAAGTTCTGGTACTGGCAAAGTGGTATCATTGCTCTTGGGCACAAAGGGTTGGTGGTTCACAATCTTTGTTCATCCAACCAAGGGAGATACCATTATCTCCATAGATGTTTTTTCTTTTGAGGCCTACTTACCTGAGAGGGGTGATTCCATGATCATGAAGGTCGTTGTCCCAGGGCCAGATTGCACTCTAGATGTGCTGACCATCTGCAATTTCCTCAAATATGAAGAAAACTCAATTGCATTACATGTTTTAGGGAAATAAATTGCTTCATACTTTCCAAGAAAAGGTTTTGGAAGTGCTTTAAGGCTCCTGATATATTTTTTGTAAATTTATTTTTAGTTTTCAACAATCACTTCCATAGGCTTTTGAGCTTTAAATTTTTCTTCCTCTCCCTCCAAAAGATGGTGTGCAAACTGATACAGGCTGTACATATACATGCATAACATATTTTCTCATTAGCCATGTTGTAAGAAAGAGAACCAATAAGAGGAACCACAAGAAAGAGGAAACAAAACAGAAGGGAAAAAAAGAACAAATGGTATGCTTTGATCTGCATTCAAACTCCATAGTTCTTTCTGTGGATGTGGATAACATTTTCCATCATGAGACTTTTGGAGATGTCTTAGATCCTTGCATTCCTGACAGAAGGCTCTGGACATTTAAAAAAATATTTTATCTTTTCCCATCAATTACCTGCCAAAACAATTTGTAACATTCTTTCATTTTTTTAAGTTTTGAGTTCCAAATTCTGTTCTTTTCCCCCCTCCCTGAACTGGTAAGCAATCTAATATAGGTTATACATGTATAATCATGTGAAACATATTTCCGTATTAGTCATTTTGTGGAAGAAAATTGGAACCAAGAAAAGGAAGACTTGCCTGAGATCCTACCAGGTTCCTTTTGTCTTTTGATGCACGGTGAAATTCGGTGCCTGTGGTAATCCTGAGAGGTCAATTAGTAGGTTTTGGTTTCGACTCAAATTTTTTTTTTTAATGAACGAAAATGTTATTTTCTCTCCCTACCACCTATCACTGCTGCAAAAACAAAACAAAAAATTTCTTTGGAACTACTGCTGTTGTATTCGCCATTTTCATCCAGAACTTGCAGAGGAGGAGGGAAAGGGACTTGCATGTGTGGCTGCTAGTGTGCATAGGGAGAGTTGTTGTAAAAGCAGTTAATTGTTTATTTGTTTTTTCACCTTCAGAAAACTGAGAAAATAAAGCATTTGCTTTTTCTCTGCCAGATGAGGTTTGTCTTTTTCTGTTAGTTGGGAAAAGCAAAAATAGTGATTCTTTGGTACACAAGTGTTGCTTTAAGTATTGCCTGTATTTTCCTATAAAAAGATTCTCACTCGGAACGCATGTCAAATAAATCTTAAAAAAGAAACGTCACTTACGTGCAAGAGAGGTTTTCTTCCCCTTCACTCACACAACACACATTAGCACTGCTCCTAATAATCCATGTTTTGGGAATTTAGCCAAAGCAAAAACTTATTTTTCGCAGAGAAAATTACTGCATTACTGGGTCAATGCGTGGAGCAGACAGAACAAGCTCCTATTCTATCTCCCACATTCGAAAATCCATTTAACATATTGTCCTCAGATACAAAACGTATTTGATATTAAACTAACAAGAACAGATACTACACTTGATCTCAGCTAAAAGGCAGAGAAGCGGCAAAAACCAAACCGCCAGCTCCCCTCACCCTCCGCTATAGCCCTCCTTCCAACTCGCGCTCACTTCGAAAATTTTCGCAAAGCCTCCGACGCCCTCGGCTACCTCCAGCACCCGACAAAACAGCTGCCAGCCTGGCCCTTTTACGCAACCAAACAGTCGCCTCAAAACACCCCAGAAAACGGAACATTACCAGATTTTAGCTCTTTCTTCGGGGAAGAAGACACTTTCCTGCCTCCCAGAAGTCCTTGCCTCCTCGCTTGCTCAACATTTGCATAATTCTCCTCCCTTTCGCACTTTCCCTTTCATTTCTTCTTCCCTTTCTCCTCTACTTGCTTTCTTTTGTGTTTCTCCTTCAAAGGCCTCCACAAGCTATGCCGAAACCCACCTACCAGGAAGAGAAATCAGGGCGCCCTGATCGCTGTGATGGGGAGCCGGCACTTCACAGATGCCTCGGATTACTGGCTATTTACATGCCCCATTGCCTTGTAAGAGCTCTGCGCAATAAAAAAGACTGAAGAAGACAAAAAATGGCATTTTTAGAGTGACGGAATATTGCTGAGAAAGTAAGATATAACAGGAAACAAGCTATTCCAGCTCCCTTTTCCATTTCACGCCTAGTCCGGGACTAGCCAAACCCAGGTTCAACGACCCCAAATCGCATGCCCTCCCCTCTACCATACTGCTTCTCCCTTAATTTCTATAGCACATTTCCATCGACCTCACATAGTTGTGATTCCTACAGCCACCACCCTGGTAATCCTACCAAGAGATGATGTTTAAATACACTCCCGCTTGGCAGTGTGCAAGCAAGGTCATCCAGCCAAACATTCCTTCTACCCATCCATGTCCCAAACTAATGCCTCGTTGCCAACTGTCCAGCCTAGACCCTAAATTGGACAGCGATAATGCTTGAGGACTCTAGAGTGATGTGTCCTCTTCATTCTACCCTGAACAGATTACAACACCCCGTTGCTATCTGCCTCGAGAATGTCACATTTGCTGCCTCATATATTCACTTGCAGAGAGGAAGATTCTGTCCTTGAAGAGGCATAATCTTCCAGTCCATAGGTGGTCATTAACCTTGAGATATGGGTTTGTAAATTTGACCAAGGCATTTGATACTTTCAGCTGTGAGGGCTTATGGAAAATTATGTCAAAATTTGGTTGCCCAGAGAAGTTCATCAGTATTGTACATCAATTTCATGATAGAATGTTTACCTGGGTTCTGAATAATGGACAATGCTCTGGTGCTTTTCCTGTCACCAGTGGAGTGAAACAAGGCTATGTGCTTGCTCCCATGCTCTTTAGCATGTTTTCAGCTATGCTATCAAGTGCCTTCAATGAGGACAAACTCAGCATCAAGGTCAGCTACCACACTGATGGTAAATTATTCAACTTGAAAAGGCTACAAGCCAAGACCAAAGTGGAAGGAGTGTGGAGCATGATTTCCTATTTGCAGATGATCGTGCACTCAATGCAGCCTCTGAAGCTGAGATGCAACAATATATGGATTGATTCTGTGTTGCTTGTGCTAATTTTGGCCTAACAATTAACACCAATAAAACACAGGTCCTCCATCAGCCATCACCACACCATGCGTATGTGGAATCATTGGTTACAGCAAATGGAGAAGTTTTGAATGTTGTGTATAAGTTAACTTACCTTTGTATTGCACTTTCTTTTTTAAAAAAAATTAAATTTTGTTAATTTATTTTGATTTATCAACAATCACTTCCATATACTTTTGAGCTTAAAATTTTTCTCCCCCTTCCTCCCTACCACCCTCCCCAAGACAGTGCACAACCTGATATAGGCTATACATTTACACTCCTATTAAACATATTTTCATATTAGTGAAGTTGTAAGTAAAAATTACTCACAGTGTTTTGCTTTTGACCACCGGCTCCTTTAGTCCCTCCCTCCCTTTCCCTTTTCTCACCCTTTAGTCTTACTGCTTCTTCCTCCTTCAGTCCCTCCCTCCCTTTCCCTTTTCTCACCCTTTAGTCTTACTGCTTCTTCCCTCCCTTCTATCCCCCCCCTTTTCTTTCCTCTTTTCCTTCCTACTGCCTATAGGGCAAGTTAGATTTCTATACCTAACTTATTACGTTATTCCCTTCTTCAGCCAAATCTAATGAAAGTAAGGTTCAAACAATGCCTACCCCCCTCCCTTCTTTCCCTCTGTTGTGATAGGATTTTGTGTCTTTTCCTGTAACGTAATTTAATCTTGTCTACCTCCTCCTTTCTCAGTACATTTTCTAAAATTAGACTAATCCACTTATTTGGATCCATTTAACCAACTTGATTAGATTTTTTTTCTCATTACCTCAAGGTCAACTATTACCCACCCCCATTATGTATATTCCTTTAACACGGTGTAATAATAATACAGTTCTCAAGAGTTGCAAGTGTCATCTTCCCTTGTAAGGATGTAAACAGTCCACCTTTATTAACAACATATTGTATCTTTCTGTCCCATTTACCTTTTTATGTCTTTCTTGAATCTTGTCCTTGAAGATCAAATTTTTTGTTGAGCTCTGGTCTTTTTATCAGGAAGGTTTGGAAGTCCCCTATTTTGTTGAATATCCATCTCCTCCCTTGAAAAATCATGCTCATTTTTGCTGGGTAGTTGATCCTTGGCTGCAATCCCAGCTCCTTTGCCTTACCGAATATCATGTTCCACGACCTGCAGTCTTTTAATGTAGAAGCTGCAAGGTCCTGTGTAGTCCTGACCGTGGTTCCATGATACTTAAATTGTTTCTTTCTGGCTGCTTGCAGCACCTTCTCTTTCATCTGGTAATTTTGGAATTTTACTATTATATTCCTTGGCATTGTCAATTTGGGAGCTCTTTGAGGTGGTGACTGGTGTATTCTTTCTATGGTTATTTTACCTTTTGGTTCTAGGACTTCAGGGGTTTTCCTTTATAATTTCCTGAAAGATACTGTCAAGGCTCTTTTTTTATCATGATTTTCAGGTAGTCCAATAATTTTTAAATTGTCTCCCCTGGATCAATTTTCCAGGTCGGTTGTTTTACCGATGAGGTATTTTAAATTTTCATCTATTTTTTCATTTTTTTTGTTTCTTTTGACTTATTCTTGCTCTCTCATAGAGTCCTTAGTTTCCATTTGTCCATTTCTAGTTTTTAACAGATTGTTTCCTTCTGTTAATTTTTGCACTTCCTTCTCCAATTGGCCAATTGTATTTTTAGGGGATTTGCTTTCTTCAGTGTACTTTTTTTCCAGTTGGCCAATTCTATTTTTTAAGGACTTTTCTACCTCTCTCATTAGACTTTTAAAATCCTTCTTGAGATCTTCTAAGAAGGTTTTTTGGGCTTCAGACCAGTTCATATACCCTTTTGATGTTGCAGATGTGGGTTTGTTCACAATGTTGTCCTCTTCAAAATTTCTGTCTTGATCTTCACTCTTCTCATAATATGAATATATGGTAAGTTTCGTTTTACTCATGGTGTTTCTTTATTCCCTGGCCTTTAAAGAGATTGAGCTCTCCTGCTGGGGAACAGAGGGCACTGACCCAAGCTTCTTGTGTTGGGAACCTAGGTCTTGGTCACTGGTTTTGTGTGCTGGGGCCTCTTATTTTGGCAATTGGAAGCTGTAGGGTTCTGGCAGCTTACCTCATGTTGGGCTGGAATCAGCAAGGCTGGAACTTTCGGGGAATTCTAGGTTGCCTGCTTTTCCTTTCCTTTAGCTTTCTTGGCCTCCTTTTAGATGGGTGCTGCAGGGTGTTTATCTGCCTGGGGCCCCTTGTAATGCTGCCTCCCTCCTTTCTGCTAATGCACTGGGAGAGTCTTTTGTGGTAGAGTGCCGAGGCACCTGGTGGTTTTCTGAGCTGGTTTCCACCAGTTCTCCTGCCCTCACTGAGGCACTCAGAGGTCCAGGTGTTGGTGTTTGCCTGCTCTACCACCTGGGCTTCAAGATGTCTTCCTGGGGTTCTGACAGCTTACCTGGTGTTGGGCTGGAATCAGCAAGGCTGGAACTTTCAGGCAATTCTAGGTTGCTTGCTTTTCCTTTCCTTTAGCTTTCTTTGGCTCCTTTTAGATGGGTGCTGCAGGGTGTTTATCTGCCTGGGGCCCCTTGTAATGCTGCCTCCCTCCTTTCTGCCAAGGCACTGGGAGATTCCTTTGTGGTAGATTCCTGAGACACCTGGTGATTTCCTGAGCTGGTTTCCACCAGATCCCCTGCCCTCACTGAGGCACTCAGAGGTCCAGGTGTTGATGTTTGCCTGCTCTACCACCTGGGCTTCAAGATCTCTTCCCGGGGTTCTGACAGCTTACCTGGTGTTGGGTTGGAATCAGCAAGGCTGGGGCTTTATGAAGACTTAGGTTGCTTTCTTCAGCTCCTTTCAGATGAATGCTGCAGGGTGCTTATCTGCCTGGGGCCCTTTGTAGTGCTGCTTCCCTTATTTTTGCTGAGGAACTGGGAGACCCATTTGCTGGGCTGTTGTACTGCTGTTCCCCGTCTTTCTTCTAGTTCAGCTGTTCCAGGGTTTTTTTTTTTCCTGGGGTGATATTTTCTGGGTTTTCAGAGATTGATAGGGGAGGGTAAGAACGACTGCCTTTTTACTCTGCCCAGTATTGCACTTTCCAGGGATGTACACATTGATAATGAGGTTGATGCACAAATTGCCAGAGCTAACTCAGTGTTTGGGAAGCTTTGAAGGAAAGTATGGGAGAGAAGAGGCATTAGACTGACTACCAAGCTGAGGGTCTACAGAGCCTTTGCACTGACCTCATTGTTGTATGCCTGAAACTTGGGCAGTATACCAGTGCCTTGCCAGGAAACTGAGTCACTTCCATTTGAATTGTCTAGGGAAGATTCTGAAGATCACCTGGCAGGATAAGATACCAGACACTGAGGTCCTTTCTCAAACTAAACTATTAAGCATTCAACCTCTACTGCAGAGGGAACAACTCCAATAGGTTGGCCATATTGTTCAAGTGCCAAACATATGGTTGCAAAAAAAAAAAAAGAACTATGTTATAGAGAACTCACACGGGGCAAGCACTCACACTGTAGTCAGAAGAAGTGATACAAAGATATTCTCAAGGTCTCTCTTAAGAACTTTGGAATTGATTGTGTGACATGGGAGACACTGTCACAGGACCACTACCCAGCATGTCCTGCCATCATCAGAGAAGGTGTTGTGCTCTATGAGCAAAGCAGAATTGAAATAACTCAAAAGAAATATAAGATGTGCAAATTTAGAGAATCCATCCCAAATGTTGACATGGATTATTTGTACCCCACTCATGGTAGAACAGTCCCAAGCTTGTATTGGTCTGATCAGCCAGTCAGACACACTGAAACTTGACTCTAGCATAGTGATGCCATTTTGGTCCTCTTCGAGAATGAAGGGTAACAACTATAGATCTAGATATAAATATAGATATTCTTCCCTTTTTGAACCAGTTCAGAGAGAGTGGGGATCCTATTTCTGACCATTCCATTTTTCTTTTAAGGTCACCTCAACATAATTGACTTTTGCTCATGACCCCTGTCTAAATAGACTCCTTCTAGCCTCCTTAGTGATAACACTCTTAGATGTTACATGTCTCATCTTCCCATTTGGGAATGTAAACAGTTTAACCTCATTAAATTCCATAAAGTTTCTCATTCATGTTTACCTTTTTATGCTTCTCTTGAGTCTTGTGTTGGAATGCCAATTTTTCTATTCAGCTCTGATCTTTTCATCAAAAAGCCACCAAACACAGCAACTTCAGCCACATCAGTCAAGAAACATTGATTAATCAGATTACTATGGGCCAGGTGTGTGCTAAATGCTGGAGATTAGATGAGGGGCAAAAGACAGTCACTGCTCTGGAGGATTATTGATTTTGATAAAGATTTGGCTGGGATGACTCAGTCTTTTCTGAAGGCATTCTGCCAGTATCTGTTATTACCGCTTGAAAATCTCCTAGGTCAGCTAACCGAGCTCTACAGGTGAAATTTTTAGATTTTTGGAAAATGAAAGTGGAATGGTTTGCTCTTCTCATGCCTTACTTGCCCAGGAATATTCCATCATACTGAAAATGCTTGCTTTCCCTCCCAGTCTTTTCTATTTTCCGGGGCTTTGACAAGGCAGTCGAATAATTCGGGAAGCCAGTAACCAAGGGCGTCTATGAAGGCCGGTTCCCCATCAGGGGACCCTGATTTCTCTTCCTGCTTCCGGCTTTTGGAGGTCCTTGAAAAAGAAAGGGAGAAAGAAGAAGGGGAAATTGAAGTGAAAGAGAAAGTGGGAAAGGGAGGAGAGCCATCCAATGTTGAACAAGGCTGGAGGCAAGGGTTTTCGGTTGGTAGGAAAATGTATTTTTGCCCAAAGAAAGTACTAAAATCAGGGTTAAAAGAAAGTCCTTCTTCTGACATGTTTTTAGTCGATCGTCTGGTTGGGTAAAGATGCAGGAGTGGAGACCTTTTTGTCTGGTGTAGTAGGTAGCTGGGGACGTGTGAGGTTTGGTCAAAGGTTTTGTAGTAGTTGTAAGTTGAAAAGGGTGCTGTCGAGAAGGGGTTATGGGTTTCTCTTTATCACTTTTCTGCCTTTTGACTAAGATCACATTCTTGTTAGTTTAATATGTGACATGTTAGGTAGACTTTCGAAGCAGGGAGATGGAATGGGAGCTTACTCTGTTCACTTCACGCATCATACTGG